CACTTCTCGACATTCAACAGCATTATCACCACTGGATACCTAACTTTGACATCCTGGAGGCTACCAATGATCAAATTCTGAACTGACTGAGCATATGAATATGCGACCACAAGCGCAGGTTAGAGGCTGGGAATTTGGCAGAGAGTGACACTTCCTGCCTCCCTAAAGACTGCCTACTGGCATCAAGGCTCAGGTCAGAAGTACAATGAAATGCTCTTTACTTGCCTGGATGGGTGCACCTCCAACAATGCCATTGATACCATCCAAGAAAAGGCAGCTCAACTCATCATCATATCCACCAGTGTGCCATCTGAAAGATGCATTGCAACTTTTTGCAAAGTCAGCACCTTCCAAACCTGCAATCACTACTACATAGAAGGACAAGGACCAAAAAAAAACACAGGAGTACCACTACCTGCAGGTTATCTTCCAAGTGACACATGATCCTGATTGGATTCATATGGCAATTCCTACACTATCCCCGGGTCAAAACCCAGGACTGCCCTCCTTACAGCACTTTGGTGATCCGAACTACATCGGCTGCAATGGTTCAGGAAGGCAGGTCACCACCACCTTCGCAAAGGCTATTAGAGTTTGGCAATAAATGATAGCTTCAGCAGCAATATTTGATTGCCAAAAGCAAATAAAAATAATTAACACCTTAAACCCAGTACTAGCTGAAGTTGACAAATCTTTGAAGTAACAGTCCACAGATTGCATACATTTCAGAACCAGTTGTACAATGTGAAATACAAATTGATGCAGTCTCAGGAAGAAAACAACTCAAGCTGCAGCTGAAAGCAGATGGGACAGTATATCATGGCCATACATGGATATTTTGATGGTGGCTGTTTTACTACTTAAGCTGTAATGTTCAATCTGGAAATCATGCCAGCAGAATGTGGTCCGCTAAAGGTAATTTATTACCTTACTGCTTCATCTGGATTTTTACAAACAGTGAATTTCTACATGATGTGGTACCAGAACAAGATGAATATTTCATGATCTTAACTCACTGCTTGAAAAATTAAAATCACTGAAATTAGAATCATAGAATCCCGACAGTGTGGCCATAGGCCATTCGACCCATTGAGTCTACACTGACCCTCTGAAGAGCATCCCAGCCCCCTACCCTGACCCTGCAATTCCCATGGTTAATTCACCTAGCCTGCACATCTCTGGACACTATGGATAATATCACATGGCCAACCCACCTAACCTGTACATCTTTGGACTTTGGGAAGAAATCAGAGCACCCAGTGGAAACCCACGCAAACAAAGGGAGAATGTATAAACTCCATATAGACAGTCACCCAAGACTGGAATCGAACCCAGGTCCCAGGCACTGTGATGCCACTAAGCCACCAAACCACCTGTAAGGTGCTAAAAAAAGAAAATTTAAAAACATTTTAAGTGAAAGCAGAATGTGTAGACAAAACATTTTACAGCAAATTACAGGTATAGACTTTTGGAAAGCATTTGACCAAGAACTTATGAAGGAATTACAGGTAAAAGAGTGAAAGAATAAACTGTAAAATGGATAAAAGACAGGCAGCTATGACTATTAAATATACTAATTATGCCATGGCAATAGCTAGGAGGTCACTCTCACTTGCGTACTTTATCAACATTCTTGACAGGGAGATAGTAAGAAATGATAGAAAGTCTAAATATACCAAGGGCTAATATATAATAGTATAATATTTGACTGAATTAGCAATTCAGCAAATAGCACTTATGGTAATAAATTGCATATAAATGGCACACTAAAAATTAGGTCCTAAAGACTACCATCATTTCACAACAAAGATTTAACACTGTAATACAGATATTAAGACAAACTAAAAGCAAAATACTTAAGATGCTGACAATCTGAAATAACAGAAAGTGCTAGGGAAACTCAGTTCTAGCAGCAGCTGAGGAGAGAAAAACAGTTAAATCGAGCCATTAACTCAATTTCTCTATTAAAAAAAAACCAAAAGAACTACAGATGCTGTAAATCAGGAACAAAAACAGAAAGTTACTGGAAAAGCTCAGCAGGAACAGCAGCATCTGTGAGAAAAAGTCAGAGTTAACGTTTCCGGTCCGGTTCTGAGGAAGGGTCACCGGATCCGAAATGTTAACTCTGATTTTTTTCACCGGTGACCTTTCCTCAGAACTGGACCCGAAACATTAACTCTGATTTTTTTCTTCACAGATGCTGCCAGACCTTGAACTCAATTTCTCTGTCCGCATATGTTACCAGACCTGCTGAGTTTGTCCAGCATTTTCTGTTTTTATTAAGAGAAACTGCAATAATTGAGTAGTCACTTAAAAAAAGTTTAAATAAAGTTTTAGAAGCACATTTCTTTCTATAAATTCAGATACAGTATTTGCAGACTAATTGACTTTCAATTATTTGTAAAGGAATTGGATAATATTATCAATTATACCACTGTACGTAGTAATTTTAAGGACAAATTTACTGTCCAAGTACTGGCACTCATCTCAGTATTTCTCCTTTACAGTGGCAAACTAACCAGTGTCAGGCAGAGCTTGTCATACAGTCATTGAGATGTACAGCATGGAAACAGACCCTTCGGTCCAACTTGTCCACGCCAATCACGTAGCCTAAAGTAATCTGGTCCCAGTTACCAGCATTTGGCCCATATCCCTCTAAACCCATCCTATTCATATACCCATCCAGATGCCTTTTTTTATATGTTCTAATTGTACCAGCCTCCACCACTTCCTCTTGCAGCTCATTCCATACATGCACCACCCTCTGTGTGAAAAAGTTGCCCCTTACATCCCTTTTAAATCATTCCCCTCTCAACCTAAACCTATGACCTCTAGTTTTGGACTCCCCTACCCTGGGAAGAAAAGACCTTGGCTATTCACTCTATCCATACCCACCATGATTTTGTAAGCCTCTATAAGGTCACCCCTCAGCCTCCAGCGCTCCAGGGAAAATAGCCCCAGCCTATTCAGCCTCTCCCTATAGCTCAAAACCTCCAAACCTGGCAACATCCTTGTAAATCTTTTATACACCCCTTCAGGTTTCACAGCATCTTTGCTATAGCAGGGAGGCCAGAACTGAATACAGTATTCCGAAAGTGGCCTAACCAATGTCCTGTAAAGCTGCAACATGACCTTTCAACTCCTATACCCAGGGTAACTTGTGGAGGGTATAATCCAAGCAGCACATTGAATGGGGTTGGGGGATCAGGCAGCTGATTAAGAATACTGCCACTGAGCACTTAAGTTATTGAAGCTCTCATCAGGTACCTTCCAGAGGATAACTCCTGAAAATTAACCAGTGTCTTCCCCCGGTGGAGAACTTTTATGAAAAGAAAGACTTACATTATGTACCACCTTTCATGAGCTCTGGAGGTTCAAGAACACTTTACACCCAACGAAGTACTTCTGAAGTATACTCAGTATAGCAATGCCTTAGGCTTTGTTAGTATTTGTTGTGGCAACTTGCAAATATGGCTATTTTAAAAGATATAAAATCATGCACCACTCACTTTTTTACCCAGAGTAGCAAGTTTTATACAATAAATTGAAAACTCCCTAGTTAATGCACACTTTGGACGTCAGACATGCACATTGCACTTTCTCTAAAAGCCGGTCTATTTATTGTAGATCTCATAAATTGCATCATCTGTATGATCTTTAACAACGTGAAAAAAGTCCCAAAGTACTGCATATGCAAGATGAACTAGGACAAGGGGTAGATGCCTGAGCATAAATTCCAATTGGGAAGAGGAAACAAGTTCATAGAATCCCTACCATTCTGGTCCATTGAGTCCACAATGAACAGCACCCCACCTAGACCCCTATCCTATAACCACTGTTAATCCACCCAACATACACATCCCTGTGCACTATGGACAATTTAGTATGGCCAATCCACCTAACCTGCACATCTTTGGACCGTGGGAAGAAACCGGAGCACCCAGAGGAAACCCGAGCAGACGCAGGGGAGAATGTCCACGCAGACAGTCACCCGAGGCTGGAATCGAACCCAGGTCCCTGGAAGCTGTGAGACAGCAGTGCTAACCACTGAGCCACAGTGCCACCGCCAGTAACAGAGGCCTCTTGCAAAAGTGCGTGTGCGTCTGTGGCGGGGAGGGAGGGAGGATGAAATCCATACAGCTGTATTACAAATATTTGATCGGCAAGCGCAAACAGGTATCTGTTTTTCTGTCTCTCAGGCACGCACACAGGCGCCTGGCATGCTATCAGGAATGCACAGCACCTGATGGTTGACAAAAGAAGGGAGCGTGTGTGTTGAGGCGGGCGGCAGGACCCAGGGTGGTGATGGTGGTGGTGGACGGCCCAGAATTTTGCCCCCGACTGACGAAGTCAGCGGGGAGGGGAGGGGAGGGGAGCAGACAGCGGCTGACCAGACCATCAATCAAGAGACCTTGGAAAGTCTAGACCATGTCTCCCCCCTCCTCTACAAATCACTTCTCGGGAGGATTGTGTTGACAGATCCTCCCCCAAGACCTGGGTCCATTTTCCAGACATGTAACTCCAATTATTTGCATAAACAGTGTGAAAAGTACTCCCGCACACGCAGAACAAAAAAGGAGAAAGAAACTCCCTTCGCCCAAACTTATGTCCTTACCCGCAAACCGTTTCGATTGACATGTTCAAACACCATCGTCTAACAACTGCCCGAAATTTCAAGGAACTAACCGACGACCCCGGGCTCGCGCATGCGCGGCATCAGCGGAGCACGCCGGGTGTTGTAGTTTCCAGAGACCGCTCCTTACCGGGATGGGCGAACGCCCGGACTACATTACCCTGCAGGCAGTGCGGCGAGACGATAGACGCCGTCCCACGAGACCGGGCTCCGCCTCCGCTAGCGGGGATTGGGTAGCATGCTGTCAGACTATTCCGAAAGCCTGGATAGTATTGGTTAGCCCACACGCCAATTAAAAGGTAGGGCCAATAGACCGTAGGGTCTGCAGGTGATTGACAGTTGGGCACCCTATATTATCGAGCGCGCGGGTGGATCGTCCTTTTTCAGCGGGAGAGTCTTGGAGGAGGTTTGTTTCTTATGCTAATGGTCGCTAAGTTATTGGCCTTTGTAATCGGTGGATGCAAATCAATAGCGTCGGTTGTTCGCGGGGGAATGAGCCAACACGAATTTAATCTATTCAATTTTTAAAAAGCAGTGCCTTAAATGGGGTAGGGACCACGTGTTAGTGTCAGGTATCTCCCATTAGGCCTTCCATATTTTTCCCCCCCCCCCCCCCCACAACCCGCTGTCCATTTGTAGCCTTTCCATCTGAAACCACTTTTATTCGGCACTCTCGTAGTGAGTGATGGCTTATAGGGTGCTAGGCCCCATATCGTGAAGGGCAATCGTTTGTTAAGCAGCTTTTCTTGACCCACTCTTTCTGTAGGGGTCCTTCAAGGGTCTGACTCCGGAAGTCTTTAGAGGAGCCCGTTAAGCTCTTCAAACTAGCTGCTTTTGCCTCGGTGCTTGTAACCCACTTTAACCCAGACTCTCTCTCGCCTCTTGTATCTAAATAGTCGCCCACACCCTTTCGAATGTCTCAATTGAACGGCACCTTAGCGTACTCCAGGCAGTGCATTTCATATATCAACTACTTCCGGAGTCACGTTTTATCCTCCTGTCGGACCTGGGGGTCGTTCACTTCTATCTTCCTTGCTTTTTCAGTTCACTCTAAATCTGCTATCACTTTATTGTCCACGTTTACAAACGAGAACACTTATCCCTACCAGCTCTATTTGGCCTGCTCCTGATTTTGAATTTTCTACATAGAAAAGCACAAGATCAGGCTCTTCAACCAATCCTGGTGCTGTTCTAAATTAATCCCATCTCCCTGATTCTGTATCCCTCAATTTTCTGCCTGCTGCTGTGTCTAAATGCTGCAATCAGTCAAGTTGGCATTGGGAAATCTCTATTGTGTGTCTCCCCTTTGGTTCTGTTGTCCATGCTTGGCTGAGATCAGGTTGCGTGCTTAGTGACCTTGTCAGAATTCACTAGGGACTGTATGGTGCAGCATTTTGTGGCATGATGCTAGATGGTCTACAGTTTCCTTGTAGAAATTGCCTTGTATGTTAACAATTCCCCTCTGTATGCATGTATCTGGTGCATGTTCCTAATTCAATGTAAATTTGGTTTATTGTGCTTCACTTTGCATTGTATTTTCAGTTAATAAATTACCAACTTGGTCTCATTGGGAATGATGTAATCAATTTGGCAAGTGTGACTGAACATTATATAGTTCAGGAAGAATAATGTTTAAACTTACTTTGCAAGTGCAGGGAGCTCACTTTCAGAATAAAATTAACAAGCAGCAATTAAGTAGCTTGTAAATTCAGGTGCATGAGACTGAGTGTATGGCAGTCACTGGTTGAGGTGGATATCAGATCCATTCCATTAAGTGCATGAGCAAAGATTGATTGCTTCACTATCAAAGAACTACATATGTTGGATGTTTGAAGCAGAGTACAGGATAAGCTCAGCATATCTGGCAGCACTTAAAGACAGTTGGTTGAGTCTGTCAACCCTTCACTTAAATGCTTGATTACTGTTGGATTTGAGCCTTCATTTTAAAGGCTCAATATTTACAAAGGCTGGCAGGTGTATATCTGCAGTTCTCTTGATTCTCCCACTTTTTTGAGTTGAATTGAATACTACAGGAGGGCTGAAGCAGTAACAGCTGGTGGGCTGCATTGCCTATTACTGTGCTGTAATTGAGCATAGTTTGAAAAACAATTCTGTGCATGACTCCAACATTACTGCAATGTAACTGTTTTATATTTTACATAATCACTAGGTATGCAGTCTTCTGACTAGTGGGGTGGATGCATCAACTGAATTGATCTGCATGCAGCACTTCTGTTAAAACTGATGTAATGCTGGGGGTGAGTTGTCTTGCTGGATGTAATCCTGTTGGGGTAGGAGGTTGGGCAGAGGGATCTGAAATGTACGTACTTCTGTCCCAGGAAAAGTCAACAGCTGAGACTAAAAGCTGTTGCTAAGACACTACTATTCACCAGCTTAGAGCTGTTGTTTCCTGGAGTCTGAAAACTGACCTAACTTTTTTCTATCTTGTAGATATGGATTGGAAGCACACTGCCTGTAAACTGGCACTGGTAAGTTCATCTGGAGAAGATGCCTAACTTAAAACACCTCTTGTGGGGCAGAAGGCATTGCCTTGCTGTATGAATTGATTTAGTGGATTGCATTTTTGTCAAAGGAAGCTGCTGTTTCCAATAAAATAGCTTTGTTAAAACAGTAAACTTTATTTTTGTATATTGTTTGTGGGCAATGTTTTGTCCTGAATTAAACAAGTTGAAGTATTGGCCAAGATTGATTTGGCCTATGGCTGTTTAAATATGACCACTAAGCCTGTGATGAGCCTTTCTTTATTTCTGACATCTCCAATGAAAGTGTTGCATCAAAGCAATGCTTGATTATTATTTTTGTGGCTGAGGCTTAATTATAAAGACAGTTTAAATGAATAGTTTAACATCAGCTTAGTTTTGTATAATTTCAGACTAAAAATGCTAAGATCTCAATGGATCCCTGGCAGTGTCTCATGAAACTTAGAACAGTGTGAGTAAACAGGTAAAAATTAGTTAATGGGATAACTGCAGTCTTGTTCTAGTTAATCTAATGGCTTAATACATTGCTCACTTAGTGCCTTGCTATCTTGTTAGGCAGTGGAGTGCCAGTGTGAGGTATTAAGCAAGTTTTAAAATGCATTTTAAGAACTTTGCAAATGCTCAGTCTGAAATGCATCTTTCTGACATCTGGGTGTTATACTAAAGTAATGCTTGATTATTTCTGAGATTAATTTTAACCTTGGTTTTTATACTTCAGCTCACTGGTCTTCAATATGCATGAAAATACAAAGGGGACACTGCTAGCAGCAAATTGGATGGGCTTTTGAAAAGGCAGAAGTCACAACACCAGCTATGGTTGGACTATAACCTGGTCATGTGACCTCAGACTCTATCTACCCTGGTGCAACACCAGCTTCGCCACATTTTGAAAAGGCAGACGGTAATATTGAGCTTCAGGCAATTTTGGGATCCAGATCACTAATGGGTCTTGCTATCTTGTATGGCTCACAGGTGAAGTAGCCTGTGTATAAAATGTTAGTATTAGATGTCTTAAGCACAGTTTACAAGAATACACTTTTGTAGAAGTAGTTTTTGTATTAAACTTTACAAATGTTGAACTGTTTTCTGACTACTTTTAATGAAAGTGATGCATTAAAATGCTCGATCATTGTAGAGCCTGAGGCTTAATCAGAAATGTAATTTAAACTGCCTGTGTTTCAGTTACAGTGGTAACTACTGATGGAACACTGGGTACAGCAACCAGATTACATTTCAGCATTAACTTTCAGCAGGCTAATGGTGAGTGTTTAAATTTCCTTAAGATGGGCTATGGCTGATAGTGATTGCATAGTTGTCTTAAACACTACATTTGTGCACAATTATTTCCAGTTGTTTCACTCTTGGAAGCAGAAATAAAATCCATAAATGGAAGATTAGGTTTCAGAACAGCTATCCAACATGGAACACTTGGTCACTCATTGTCAAGGGAAATCCAATTCAAACTAAGTTCTGCCATGTTATGATACAAATGTAGCAGAGTTTGCTATCAGGCAAGCTCTTTGTCTAGACACTCCTGTATTAAATGTCTATCTGCTATCACTTAAGGTATTTTAACAGTTACTGGTTACACTTTTGTGCCTTGAGGTTTAATCAGTGTAACCTGGTGTGTAATGGCCAGTCACCTTGACACAAGCCTACACTAAATTGCAGTTTAGTTTGAAGTTCTTAGACTCTTGGAAGTTTGCAAGTGCTGAGCCGGTGATGAGCCTTTCTTTATTTCTGACATCTCCAATGAAAGTGTTGCATTCAGCAATACTTGATTAGTGTTTTGTGGCTGAGGCTCACTTGCACTGCTGTTGTCAAAATTTGTGTTACTAACTAATATTTTTAATTGTTACAGGTTATGGATTTGACTTCATTCTGAAGCTGGCATAGAATGGTTAATTGACCTGTCCATAATTGCAACAAAGTTGTGAAACATTCAGAATGCTTGCCTTGTTTCTTTTGAATAAAGAAATTCTTTAAATGTGACTGCAATTTTTTATTATGCCTTCATGAACCCTTTGGCATGGTTAATGTTCAGAATTTCAGTTAAATTACTAGATTGAACTTCAGTCTAGATTTTATTATTGATTGTAATTTTGAATATTAAAACCCAACTTTCTTGTAAGGTCTAAACTTGTCAAAACAATTTTTATCCTAATGACTAGCTAACAACTTGTGGTTTTGCAAGCATAATTAATGCTCAAACAAGATTAGCATCTTTGCATCAGTACAAAAATATTCTATGGCAACATCTCTTGCAAGTAGTGAATATTCACTGAATAAGCTATGGTATTGAATTTGTTCCCAATCTCTCAATATACAAATGTAGGAATTGCTGAGTAGTATAGTGGCTAATGAGGATAGGCTGTTGAGCACCACCTTATTGAAAAATGAACAGGTGCTGGGGACTTGATCAATACTTAAAAAAAATCAGATACTGCACAATTTTTGGTGTTGTGCATGAATAGTTCTAACAGTAGCACATTTTACTTAGCAGCTCACTTTCCTGGAGGTGAGCACACTAATCGGCTGAAGCTAAAAGCATTAGAATGGCATCAGTACCCACCTGTCTAAACTGATTCTTTCCTGTCTCCCTCTTTTCCTCTCCTGCTTTCCACTGCATCTAGTCTTCCACTAGTAGAGACTAAGCAAACTCCCCAATCCAGTGGAATGGAGGGTGGAGAGATTCATGGATCAGGGATAAAGTTCTCTGGCTATCCTAAATGCTGTTCTATGCTAAGGTTAGCACCCTGGTTGCAGGGGAACTTGGGAGAAGGATCTGGTTGTGGTTCATTAGGTATCAATCCTAGGATTAGGGAAGAGGTTCTGAAGCTTTGAGTAGCATAAATTTTACAACATTTGTCCTGCTTAATTTTAGCATTACCACAGGGTTATTAGAGGTAAGTATCCAGGATATTGTGGGAAGCTAGGGGAATTGTAGGATCACAATAGAGATTTGTATCAACCATGGGTGGGGTGCAAAACACTAGAGGGTGCCCATTAAAGGCTAAGGGAAAAACCAGGGAACCAAACAGTTGGGGAGCCCTCCACTCCAACCATAAATTCACCATCAAACTTGCAGGTAAGGGAGGTGCAGTTGTGGTATGGCATACTGACCTTTAATAGCCAAGGCCTGGCATCAACTCTGACACCTCTTCCTACCAACACACACCACCCCCCCCCAAACAACCAAAGATATATTTCCCTACCCACCCCTATCTACCTTCCATAGGGACCATTCTTCATAACTCCCCACTAGCCCCACCACCCCTGGCACTTTTCCCTGTAACCACGGGAAATACTACTACACCAACACCACCTTCTTTTCCCCCCCCCCCCCCCTCCATCCAAGGAGCCAAACAAACCTTTCAAATCAGAGGTTCACCTACACATCTGTCACTGTGGTTTATTGTATCTGCTGCTCCTGCTGTGGCCTCCTCTACATCAGTAAGACCCAAGTGGAGGCTTGGAGACTGCTTTGTAGAGCACATGTGCTCTGACAATTGACAACACCTTCCAGTTGCAAACAATTTCAACTCCCCTCCCATTTCCTTGGTGACATGCCCATCATGGGCTGCCTCCAGTGTCATAATGACATGACCTGGAAACTGGAGGAGCAGCACCTCATATTCTGCTTTGGGAGCCTACAACTCAATGTGGACTTTACCAGTTTCAAAATCTCCCCACCCCCAGCTGCATCTCATAACCTCCCTCTCATCCCTGTCTCCTTGACCTGACACAACCTGTCCATCTTCTCTTCTCCCACCTATCTGCTCCTCCCCCACCTCTGACCAATCCCCACCATTACATACCTGCACACTCACCTATCACCATCCTCTCTATTTTGGAGCTCCCTTCTACCTTCCCCCATTTTTGAAGAAGGGTCCCAACCCAAAACGTCAACTCTCCTGCTCCTCTGATGTTGCCTGGCCTGCTGTGCTCCTCCAGTTCCACACTGTGTTATCTATAAACTTGAGATTGTGTTGGGTAAGTTGGAAGGCATTACAAAGGATCTACAAGCGTTTGAGGAATTGGGTCTAACCAGTTTGTTTTCTGCCTCCAAGATAGATGAAGGCAGTGGTAGACCTTGTCTAAGGGACTTTAGCAAGGCCTTTGACAATGTTCTGTGGTAGACTAATGATCTAATCTGACATGAGATCTGGGGAGAGCTAGCAAATTGGCTTGATTGTTTGGTAGAGGGTTGTTCAGATTGGAGGCCTGTGACCAATGTTGTGCTGCAAGAAAGTGACCCAGCCCCGCTCATTTGTGAAAACAATTTGGATGAGAATATAGGAGGCATGTTTGGTAAGTTTGGATGACGCCAAAATTGATGGTCTAGTTGCCAGTGGCTTGAGTATAGCAGATTTTGATCCAGTCGATCAAGGAATGGTAAATGCAGTTTACTGCAGATAAATGAGGTGTTGTGTTTTTGGTAAGTTAACCAAGGCAGGATTTGCACAATGTGGCCCTGTGGAGTGTTATCAAGAGACCTGGGCTACAGATCCATAGTTAAGCAGTGTCACAGGTAGTCAAGGTGGTGGAGGCAAGAGTTTGGCATACTTTACTCAATGCTGACTGATGAAATTAAGGAGTTGGGATGTCATCTTACAAGAAATTGGTGGGCCACATTTGGAGAATTGTTCAATTCTGGCTGCCCTGCCATAGGAAGGATGTCCTTAAACTGAAAAGGGTGCAACAATTACAAGGCTATTGGAGATTAAGGTTTGAGTTAAAGGATATGCTGGGACTTCCTCCTGGAGTTTAGGAGGCTGAGGGGTGACTTTGTAAAAGTATATAAAATTGAGGGGCATTGACAAGGTGAATAGCCAAGGTCGCTTTCTCTAGAGGAGGAGAGTCAAACTAGAGGGAATGGGTTTAAGGTGAGAGGGAAAGATTTAAAAGGGATTAGAGGGGCAACATTTTCAGAGGGTTTATGTATGTAACAAGCTGTCAGAGGAAGTGATAGAGGTGGGTACAACAACATTTAAAAGACGCTCTGGCAGGTACCCAGATAGGAAAGGCATGGAGGGATATGGACCAAATGCAGGCAGATGGAACTAGTTGAATTTAGGAAAGCTGGTCAGCATGGAAAGGTTGGGTCAAAGGGCCTGTTTCCATGCTATGACTATAAACTCTATGAGGAGAAATGTAGTTCTCAACTCAAACTGGACCTATCATCTTTGAAGATATTACCAGTCCTGTGGAATTTCTCCAGCACTTTTGATGCTGGAAATAAAAATTTTGTTTTTCATTGGTCCTCACATTGATCAAATGTCCTGGTGACTCAACAGGCAGTATATAAGACTTTAAAACAATTGGTTAGAGAGTTTGAAGGGTAGTTTGATTTTAAGAAAAATCAAAAAACCAGAAATCAGGTACAGGATACTGAAGAGGTGAATAAAGTGTGACAGGAAGGGGAAGAAAATAGTGCAGCAGAAATTTGAGCCAGAATAAGTAGCAATGGTAATTTATGCTGCACTCTTCTGCGGCTTGTGTTTTCTGCCCTTCCTGTTTTATCTGAACACATACTATTTCTAACTCTATAGTTGATGGCACAAACGGAAATAAATGAATATGCTTTTGATAACTACAGGAATGTAGGTGCATGATGATCAGGACTGGGAACTCTTAAAAGGTATCTGACATCCTAAAGGAATAGGAAGGAAAATGACTGGGGTAGCATTCTTAAAGGAAAGTATCAGTCCACAGATAATTAGTGATATAGATGCAATTGATTGTGAAATGTGGAATCAGTTTGAGTGGAAATAAGGAATAGCCAGGGAAGGAAGTCACAGTTGGGAGTCATCTATAGGCCCCCTGAAGATTACCTCTGTACAACAAAGTCTAAATTGATAAGTAGTGGTGTGTAAGGATACTCCAAATTTCATTGATTTTTTTTAACTGCATATTGATTGGACAGAGCAGAAGGGCAAGTATGACATGCAAGACACAAAGCTTGAGTGCGTCATAGGTTACTTCTTAGAACAGTATGTTGTATATTCTATCTGGCAACAGGTTATCTTACTTCGAGTAATATGTCATTGTGTAGCATTAATCAAGAGATTTCATAGTTGAAATCTGATCACAATATGGTAGAATTTCAAATTCAGTTTAAGGGAGTGTAACAGTCTCAAACCAGTGTCCTCCAATTAAATGAGGGCACTTGGAGGTGTGCAAAACATGTTATCTAAAGCAGATTGGGAAAATGGACTAAGGAGGTCAGTAGATGAGCAGTGGCAGACATTTAAGCAAATGTTTATAGCACGCAAGCCAAAAAAAATTCCAGTCAAGGACTCTGTAGGAAGATGAACCACCGTGGCTGAAAAGGTGGTCCCAGGACAGTATGCAGTTAAAAATGAAGACAAAGTGGTGAAAACTAATGGTCAGGACTGCAATTTGTTTTTGGAACCAGCAGCATTTGACTTAAGCTAATAAAAAGGGACGAAATTGATAATGAAACTAAATTGGCAACAGATATTTAAAGCTAGAGTTTCTAGCATATTAAGAAAATAGCTAACGTGTTCAGGTCCCTTGAAGGATGTGACTGGGGAATAGCTGTCAACTCACATGGAAATAGATCATTGAAACCATATTTACATCAGTCCTCAGGGTGGAGGACACTAAATAGGTGCCAATTTAATACTCGTGAGAAATTTCTTCTCATAGGCTTGTGAGTCTTTGTAAATCATTGCTAGAGTTGTGGGGACAGTCCTGCCTAAGGCTGAGATTGATTCTCAATCAGTGTGGGAATCAAGGGTTACAGGGAAAGGGCAAGAAAATGAATGTGAGAAATAGTGGATCAGCCAAGATCCTATTGCATAGTGGAGGTGCCAAACAGTCTACTCCTGTTCCCATTTCTTATGTTTCTCAAAAATGTCAGATAAGCAAGCGTATTGTAACAGTTTAACCTACTTGATGTACTGAAGGAAGACAGGTCACTAGGACCTGATGGCCTATATCCAAGGATTTAAGGAAATGACTACAGAAGTAAAGGGCAGTGGTTGAAATGTTGCAAAACTCACTGGATTCTGGGAGGGTTCCAGCAGATTGGAAAACTGCCAAAGTGACACCCCTTTTCAAGAATGGAGGTGTACAAAAGGCTGGAAATTATAGGCCAGTTGGCTTGATAACTGCCACTGGGGAAAATGCAGTTTTCTATTAAGGAAACAATAGGACATTCAGAAAAGCTTAATACAATCAGTCAGCCTAGTTTTGTGAAAGAGAAAACATGTTTGACAAATTTTCTAGTGTTGATAATAAGTAGGGTTGATAAAAGGGGACTGTGTATATAGTAAATCCGGAATTCAGAAGGCATTCAGTTTCCCATATGAAGGGTTATTGCGCAAGGTGGGAGCTCACAATAACATAGGGTGGGTGATTCTATTTAAAATCTGAAAAATACAACATTGTCTATTCATTCATGAGATGTGGGCATTGCTGGCTAGGCCAGTATATATTGCCCATTCCTCATTGCCTACAAGACAGTTAAGAGTCAACCACATTGCTGGAGGTCTGGAGTGACATGTAGGGCAGACCAGGTAAGGATGTGGTTTCCTTCCCTCAAAGAGCTTAATGAACCAGATGGGGTTTTTATGACAATCAACGTCAGGAAAGGGTCAGCTCGTTGCACGCCCAGAAAATGACAGCTGGGGAAAATTTCAGTCAGGGTGTCCACGTTAGCACTAAACCTTACCAGTCAATTATGTCACCGCTCACTTCAATCCGCAGCCTTGTAAGTTGAGGTCACATTGTCAAGTAATATGCAGTCCACCTTTTCTGAAAAGACTGGAAGTGTTTGGAGTCTAGAGCTTGCCAATACATTGAATAGTAGAGTTAAACATGTGGAGAAACATGAAAATTAAAGCTAGAGGGATACACTAAGGTGAAATGTAATAGTGAAATGAGGTTTGTGTGGAACTTAGTCACTGGCATGGACCAAATGAGATGAATGACCTCTATGAGGGATTAAGGTATAGTGCTGTAGCCATCCCTTACTCCTGGTTTGATAGCTTGCTATGCAAGGAAATCAAGGTAATAATAACTACTTTATCCGAGGAGACAAAATCTAAAAGTGCTTAATGATTCCTGACATTTTAAAATAAAATCTACAGCAGAGGGCACTCCAACTCCACATTCATCATCCAACTCCACATTGATTACATATTGTGACAGAGTTGAGCATTCAAAGGACAATTGATTTGTGCTTAGATAATTGAAATGCACTTGGAACATCAGCTACTGCATTTTCATTCAGATCCTTAAAAACTTTACATTTAAAATACCTATTTGACTGGCTCAGATGGGTTGTCATGTAAGTAAGAAGGTGAACTGGTTACACAAAAGTTCTGAGGAAGGCTCCCCGGGACCCGAAATGTTAACTCTGACTTTTTCTTCACAGATGCTGCCAGAACTGCTGAGTTTTTCCAGCAACTTTGTTTTTGTACACAAAATGTAAACAATTTTCAGCAATGTGCAACTGTGAATTTACAAAGCAAATCAGGATCCAAATCAGCAGCCGCAGGCAATGATCCCCACAATGTGATAGGTGGCTTGCATGTTGCATTGAGTATTACAGACAATTTGAAGGTATCCTGACCTGATACAACAAAGAACGATTTGGTTTGATATGTGATTGCACACTGAAACTATGTAGAAGAACAAAGAATAATAGGGATATTTCCAGTAGAGAAAAGGTGGTTTATTAAGGTCTTTCAGTTGTCTAAGGGAGTAGATAAATTGGCACATAATGCCAGGGTGATATTGAATATGAACATGACCACATGGCCAACAAGTCCTTGAAGTAGCTGTTGGTCCTAAGTATGGAAAGCCAATGTTGGCAGGCTACTTAACCACTGAAGCATCACAGCATGGCCAACTTTGCGCGCTCTTGGTGTCCGAGCATATAGTCAGGAATTGCTGAAAACTGATTGAGACTAAAGCACCAGAGAATGTGAGGAAGTGACTGTTTTGACAGAGAGTAACTGAGAGTGTGTGTGTGTGTGAGTGTGTGTGTGTGTGTGTGTGTGTGTGTGTGTGTGTGTGTGTGTGTGTGTGTGTGTGTGTGTGTGTGTGCGCGTGCGTGCGTGCGCGAGCGAGACAGAACAAGTAAGTGGTTGAGGGCACATTATATTACTCCAACACCTCACACATTGCTGTCCTCAGACCCCACAGCTCCAACATCTGGTCCCAACAGCTCTCAATCCTCCAAATAGGATTTCAGGGGGCAAGGTTGGGGAAGCACTGCTACAGAAGCATTGAGTATATTCAACACTGAGATTAATAGACCTTTGGAAAATTAAGGAAACAAGGACATGTATAGCAGGAAAGTTGAGTTGAAGTGAAACATCAGGAATGATCTTTCAAATGGCAGAACAGAGGGCCAAATTGCCACCTCCTACTTGCTATGTTGTTAAAATGCTCAATGGTAGTCTTCTGTAGTGTTCAGAAAACAGTGTTCTGGATTCTGTAACTTCTAAATGAAAACATTACAATCTTTTGACCAATGTTGCAGTCCTGCTTGTGAATGAAGAAAAATATTTAAATAAAGCCAACCATTAGATGCTGAGAATAAAAGAGACTGGAATGAGAGTAGGTTTCAAGTTTTTACTTTCTGCAAAAGCATATGCTGCACAATAATTAACAACAGGCCCATCAATCTATTTTACCATGGCTTTTTTCATTCACTTCTTGGAATGTGGTTTCTTGGAAAACATTTTATTTTACAGCTGTTGCAACTATTTAAAAATTCTAATAAGTCTGACAATTATGCATTAGTTTAAAAAATAGTTTACATTATTTCAGCAAGATGCATAAAAGGGGTCGAATGGCATTTCCTTGCAACTGGCATCCTGATTTATTTTCACACATGTGGATTCTCCGCAGTGCCCCAAATGAAATTAAAGTTGGCTTTGTAAAGAATTAAAAAATATACACAGCATACATTCAGTACAATCACGGACATCAATGTACATTCATTTAATGTCCTACAGAACAAAACAGGTGTGTTTTTCTATTGATACAAACTGTTAGTCAGCAAAAGCAGATTTAGATTATGTAAACAATCAAGTACAGTTCTTTCGATCCTGATTTAACACCATTTATATCCCACTCATCTCCGCAAATTAATTCAAGGTGTTCTTGGCTGATAAACACTTGTCAATGTACAGACAACAAGTACAGACATGCAAGAACTTCACAAAAGAAATGGCAGAACTATGAGACAATCAGTCTTGTACAAATGTATCGGCAGATAGAACATAGCAGTTATGATCTGCAGCAACCCGTACCTTTCATTTCCGAGTTCACATAATCATGGAGCTTGAACTTGGCATCATTTGGTGATTTCATTGACCTGTGTTTCAGTTCTCTGTAACGAACAGTGCAGTCACAGTCATACCTATCCTAAAATGTGGAGCTGTGTTAGTTTATACTAGTCCTGTGTCAAGGATTGGAGCGACACAATTACGTGAGCTCACACTGACCTTATGATATGACAACCGAGATTCAGATCCTATACAGCAATATTTAAGAGGATAGGCAACATCTGTGGAGAGTAAAACAGAGGTAATATTTCAGATCAAGACCTTTCATCAGAACTGGAAAGAATTACCAATGTTGAAGTTACATCGCTGACTTTCTCCTGCTCTGAAGAAAGGTCATCAGCCTGAAACATTAACTCTGTTTCTCTCTCCAGATATGCTGGCTGATCTGCTAAGTATTTCAAGCATTTTATGTCTTTCTTTCAGGTATCCATTATAGATGCAATCTAGTGATTTCTTGCAAATTTTCATAACAAATTCTAGAGATATACTGTTTATTCTATCGCAGTAAAATTAACCACATCAATTGTATATTACCTCTATCTAATGCTTACTGTAATGACCAATACAGATAACACGTACAAAGTAATTCTCACTTTTAGTTATAAATCAAACTTGATTGCTGTGATAAAAGCACTCTTCCTGGTCTGAAGAGGAGTCATACTGGACTTGAAACGTTAATTCTGTTTTTCCTCTCTCCACAGATGCTGCCAGAATTGCTGTGTTTCTCCAGCAATTTCTATTTTTGTTTCACATTTCTACCATCTGTGAATTTTTTGCTGTGATTTGATTCCTGTGATATCTAACATATCATTCTGTTCTCCAGGTCATTAGACTCATTTTCTGGGACTTAGTTGCCTTTTTAAAACATGGGATAATTTCCATCAATTATTAATTTTGTCACAGATTGGGTGATATTTTTGATAAATATTGTTTGTCACAATAACCCTGGCTGAAGTTTGCCAACGCAGTTGGAATTTAAAGATTGATTTTGCATAACTTACTTTGCAATAGCCATAAATGCCAGCTCAACATTTAGGCCTGTTTTGGCACTTGTTTCCATAAAGGGCACTCCATATTCCTAGAAGAAGATAAAAGTTGATCAGTAGTGTAGGGCAGCATGGTGGCTCAGTGGTTAGCACTGCTGCCTCACAGCACCAGGGACCCGGGTTCAATTTCACCCTCGGGTGACTGTCTGTATGGAGTTTGCACATTCTCTGCGTGGGTTTCCTCCGGGTACTCTGGTTTCCTCCCACAGTCCAAAGATGTGCAGGCTAGGGTGGATTGGCCGTGCTAAATTGCCCGTAGTGTTCGGGGTGTGTAGATTAGGTGGGTCTGGGTGGGATGCTCCAAGGTTCAGTGTGGACTTGTTGGGCCGAAGGGCCTGTTACCTACACTGTAGGGATTCTAAATAGTGTAGGTACATCCATCTAAAACACATTGCACAGCATTTTCATCCTCACTGCCAGCGCAGACATTTGGCCTACTGGGTCACACTTCCAATTTTTGAACCCACCAAATTTCATCATTTTGGTACCAATTGCTTCACTCTGCGCAATCACCACCTAGTCATGAAGTTAGGATCACCCCCATTTTCACTTAGAAATTTCTTTCCCGCGGTTGTAAAGTAGTACTGAATGACTAAATCCATTATATTATAATAGAGATGTTAGACATGTTATCTCCCACCCTATGAAGCTAGTGGGGTATGAACCCTAGCCCAAAAGTAGGGACACAGCCAGTGTACCACAAGAGCCATTATATAGTCTTATAATATGTTATACTTTCAGTCACATCCTAATTCAAAAAAGAACTGATGCTGTAACAAAATAAGGAAACACAAAATATGCCAGTAAATCATCTGAATTTTTTACATCTTTCATTAATGTTTTAGCAACGCACCAGAACTTTTCTTTTACCGCAATGACTTGTACCGCAAAACAGGTGAAATAATTAGAAGAAAAATTCCGGGAAGAGCAGATCAGTATCTTACTGTGCATCCCTTCATCTCAGAATAACAGTGACTGCTGATTTAGGTTCCCAACTCGTGTTGCAAGATGGTAGTTCCAAGTTTCTACCTAAGACATACTACATACTGAATCTCTCATCTTAATCTGGAGTCAAGGAATTAAGTTAAAAATCTCAAACTGGCAAATGCAAAAGAATGCCAGCAAAAGCGGGCAAAGGAAGCTTTAGCACCCCTACCTTTCACCTGAGTCTTGCGTTCAAACGAGGCTCAATTGATGCGAGCGAGGTTAACTGTGTCACTCCCTTTTCTCTTATAACTGGCAAAACTCTTGTTAGACAAAATTCCTTCACAGAATCTTAAATAAATCGCACAGTTTAATGTCAGCGTTAATAGTGGCTTAAAAAGCAACATACCTTTGCTAATTTTTCTCCTGCCTCTTTCTTAACGGCCCTCTCTTGAGTTGCATCAGCCTTTAAAATATAGAAAATGCAATAAGTTCTAAAGTCACAGCTTCACGTGTGAATCTGGATTTTTCCGGCACAGTGTGGCTTATCTATATTCTAAGTTTCACTTACTGGAAAGATTGAGGTTTTCTAATAAACACAGTTCTAATACTTTCTTCCCTGGAGAAGGTTAGAACAAGCACCAAGTGGTGTTTTGAATTCTGCTGCAATTCACCATGATATCTACAGATGTCAGCAGCTATCTACTGTACCTTGCAAAAGCGCTTATTTAATAACGTTAAGCCGAAAAATGAAAGTGCGCAGCACCCGCATTTCATTCTTAAAGGGCTAAATAACTCTGAAGAGGACCAATGCATTTGCTCATTCTGCACCAGGTCTGTGCCCCACTCCCAATTGACCATTGTGTCTGACTGGAACAAGCGATGGACCCATTGCAAAGTGAAGCCAAATGGCTATTTCTTGCCTCTCTCCCATACTCGCAATGCTCGCAAGGTCATGTCCCATACCCGAAGGTCAATTTTCATCCTCGTCATATTGGACACACTCTGTTGACATCTCCGATTCACTGGTTACAGCTTGATGGCACAGAGCACCAATTTCACACAGTCCTCCCACTCACCTTATTCCTCCCGATGGTTCCCTCAATTGCCCCTGGGTCGTGCACAAACCAAACCCTGGGATTGATATTCTGATACAAGGAGTGCTTTTAGAGAGCAAATAAAAATGCTGGCACCTGATATAACAAGAGCAGTGCTAGCACTTACCTTGTTACCCAACAACATGATTACCACGTCTTGTGTTGCATATTCATGAATCTCTGTCAGCCAGGCCTATAAAGAACAAGGAAAGTGACGTTACAATAATTAGAAGATATAAACCACAGAAACCAAGGAATAAAAAGTAGCTGAATGGTAAATCTTTCATTCTCAGGTTGGCAGCTGTAGACAGAGAGAGCTGAATAAGGTAACATTCAGGCACAGGATGTTCTACTGCCGGTTAGATTTGATTCTCCTCAGTAATACGAGTGGGGAACTCTAAGAGTGGTTCAACAGGTAACTCAAAACAGCTTCAGCATCACTGAACAGCAGTACAAAGGTCAGTTCCAGTCAGGGAGCAAGCATGGAGCAGAAAATATTCCCTGCAACTGACAATCTAGGGGCCCACTTTAGTCCCCAGGAGCTGTTTGTGCTGCTAAACTTTGGGGCTTAAATAAGCCCATGAGCAGTTTTTGCTTGGTGTAGCTAGTCAGGAGACTGGAGTTCAGAGATGCAACATCAGTTTTGTAAAATTGATTGTGTGTGAAAGAGCCAGAATCGTACTGATACTGAGAGGCAGCAGGACAGGTTCATGAGTCCAATGTAACACAGTCTTAGGAGAAGAGACTGAGCCACCCTGCAGGTGAACAGTCATCAAAGCTGTCTAAAGTGTAGAAAGGAGAAGACATTCAGAAGCAAGGCCCTAAAAAGTGAGGCACTAATAATAAAGGGGGAAAAGTTTTCATGAGAGTTGGTGACCCACAGTGACACTGAATTTTGGGAGGGCTGCTGAGAAATCCATGAGATCTGTCTGGACTGGATTTGCTATTTGATATGCTCCATATGGTCTTTGACCACAGTTTGTCAATTAACCCATATCTCCCACATGATAATGCTGGAGTATATGGAGTTATATGTTCAAAAACAAAGTTGCTAGAAAAGTTCAGCAGGTCTGGCAGCATCTGTGAAGGAAAAAACCGAGTTAACACTTCAGGTCCAGTGACCCTTCCTCAGAACTGATGGCTGCATGGCTGCCCTTCCATGGCTGATCTGATAATCCACAACACACTTTCTTGCCTTTTCCCTATCACTCTTGATTCCCTTACTGATTAAAAATCTGTCTGTATCAGCTGTCTACCCAGCTTCAACAGCCCTCTGGAATAAAGTCTTCTACAGATTCACTACCTTCTGAAAGAAGAAATTCCACCTCATCTCTGTCTTAAATTGGCAACCCCTTACACTGAAATTTTGCCTGCTGGTCCTAGACTCTCCAAGGGGAAACAAATTTTCTGGATCTACCCTGTCAGGTCCCTAAGAATCCTGCATGTTTAAATAAAGTCACCTTTCATTCTTCTAAATTTCAGTGAGTACAGATCCAACCTACACAACCACACAAGACAGTCCATCCAAAACTAGCAACAGCCTAGTGAACTTCCTCTGGACTGTTTCCAATGGCCAATGTATCTTTCCTTAGATAAGGAACAAAAACTGCAGACAGAATTCCAGCTGTGCCATGACTTACTGACTTGCAGAGTTTTAGCAATAGTTCCCTACTTTTATATTTCATCCCCTTTGAAATAAAGATTCCATTTGCCTTCCCTGTTACCTGCTGGACTTGGATGCTAACTTGTTGTGATTCTTTGATGAGGGCTTCCAAATCCTCTGTGCTGTAGCTTTCTGCAGTCTTTCTCCATTTAAATAGTATTCAACTTCTCTTCTCTTTTCACCAAAGTTCACAATCTAGTATTTTTCCACATTATATTCCATCTGTGAAATTTGTGCCCACTTGCTTAATCTGTCTACATCTCTCAGCAGACTCTTTGTGTCACCTTCATCACTCGTTTTCCCATCTATTTTTGAGTCATCTGCAAATTGGCTAAAGTACATTAACTTCTCACATCCAAGTCACTAATATTGTAAATAATTGTGACGTAGGTACTGATCCCTGTGGGACACCACCAGTTACAGGATACCATCCTGAAAATGCACCCCCCTTCCTTATCCCGATTCTTCTATTAATTCTCAACTGACAATGGTCAAGATCCAAAAGCCAAACTATGAAGGAAATGATTCTGTAGTTACATTGGATAAAAATTGTACAAAGGAATGGTAACAAGGAAAGCTGCCTTCTGAATTAGTGGCCAGTGAAATGTGAAAGATTGAAGGAATACAAAATCACTCAGACACCGGATTGAGTCCAAAGCCTGGTTATGACAATGGGCACTGCTACCCAAATATAGCTAATTCCCAGCCTCACTCCTGTGACAGGCACTTTGGATCAGCTTTAATCTCTTAAGCAAGTAACTCTGTTTAAGCATTTTTAAATATTTCTTTGACTCTCATCCTGTTGTGTTGTTATGAATAAACTTTTGTAGAAGCAAAAATAACTGGATTGAAAATCATCTCACTTTGACAAAATATGGAACTCATGGCTGATATAGAATGGCATTCATCACTTATTTTCACTGTCCCGCTAGTTAAATTGTAGCAGGCAAATAGTGGAATAAAACATTACCATGAATCTCTTATTAAATATACAATACTCAATACATTCTTGCTTGCCGTCAACAATAAAATTCAGACAAGTTGATTGCTGCATTTAGATAACACAGTGGGTCCACTAGAGTCAGAGAGGGCTACAGCACAGAAAATAATCCTTCAGCCCATTGAATCTGCCCCAGTCAAAATGAGACATCCAACTACTTTAATCCCATTTTCTAGCACTTGGCATCACAAGTGTACATCTAAATACTTCTTAAATATTATGACGGTTTCTGCCACTACCATCCTGACAGGCTGTGAGTTCCAGATTCTGATCGGCCTCTGGTTAAAACATTTTTTTATCACATCCCCTCCTGCCCCTTATCTTAAATCTGCCACCAGTCTCTACCAAAGGGAGAAGTTTCTTCCTGTCCACCCTTTCAATGTCCATCATAATTTTTTACATAATTTACACGGGTTTATATTTCTTCCATCCGTCTGGCTTGAATTTTCAATAGGATCCAGTGGTGATGATCCACTTCCAGTATTTACACTCCCCTTCCAAACAATCCTTCAAATATAATCCATGTGAGGAGACTCAATGAGGTCAATTGAGCTATGGGTTGTTCTAGGCATGTCTGTCATGAGTTGCATGAAAATAAATTACAAGTTAAATTAACAGAATGATTTCCATAGACTATAAAATGACCAGTCACCCACAGAATTATAAATGATGAGCCTTCAGATGAGCACATTACAAACATTCATAATGAAGCAATTAGGCACATATTAAACAATTATTACAACAGGAATGTAATCAATTATTTCTGAGAATGGTGAGATAGGGAGCCTACATGTTCTTCATGGTCTTCAGTCATAATTTTCATGCATGAGTGTGTTCATTGAGAGCTAAATTTCTACTGAACAATCTCCAAAGTTAACTTTGGTTTCAAGTGAATGCAAAGTACTGGGAAAGATCACTCAGGTCAAATTCTGTCCATTAACTCTCTCTTATTTGATTCAAAAGGTGTATCTCTAGCAGGAGTACAGCATCTTAAATACCTTTCTCAAAATCCACCATTTTTTTTATTCACTCATGGGACATAGGGGTTGCTGGCTGGGCCAGCATTTATTGCCCATCCCTAGTTGCCCTTGAGAAGATGGTGGTGAGCTGCCTTTTTGAACCGCTGCAGTCCACATGCTGTAGGTTGATCCACAATGCCCTTAAGCAGGGAATTCCATGATGTTGACCCAGTGACAGTGAAAAAAGCGGCGATATATTTCCAAGTCAGGACGGTGAGTGGCTTGTAATGAAACTTGCAGGTGATGGTGTTCCAAGTATCTGCTGCCCTTGTCTTTCTAGTTGGGATTGGTCATGGGCTTGCAAGGTGCTGTCAAAGGATCTTTGATAAATTTCTGCAGCGCATCTTGTAGATTGTACAAACCGAGCATCGGTGATGGAGGAAAAGGATGTTTGTGGATGTGATGCCAATCAAGCAGGCTGCTTTGCCCTGGATGGTGTCAAACTTCTTGAGTGTTGATGGAGCTGCACCCAACCAGGCAAGTGGAGAGCATTCTGTCACACTCCTTACTTGACCCTTGTAGATGATGGACAGGCTTTGAGGAGGTCAGGAGGTAAGTTACTCACCACAATATTTCTAGCCTCTGGCATGCTGTTATAGCCACTCTGTTTGTATGATGAGTTCAGTTGAGTTTCTGGTCAATGGTAACCCCAAGGATAATTGGGGATGCAGTGATGGTAACATTATTGAATGTCATGGGACATGGGTTAGATTATCTCTTATGGTCATTGACTGGCATTTGTGTGGCACCAATATTGTTTGCCATTTGTCAGCCCAAGCCTGGATATTGTCCAGATCTTGTTGCATTTGAACATGGACTGATTCAATATCTGAGGAGTCACGAATAGTGCAAACATTGTGCAATCATCAATAAACATCACCATTTCTGACCTTATGATGGAGGGAAGGTCATTGATGAAGCAGCTGAAGATTGTTGGGCCTAGGACACTACCCTGAGGAACTCCTGCAGAGATGACCTGGAGCTGAAATGGTTGACCCCCAACAACCGCAACCATCTTCCGATATACCAAGTATGACTCCAACCAGCAGAGAGTTTTTTCTCGATACCCACTGATTCCAGTTTTGCTAGGGCTCCTTGAAGCAACACTTGTCAAATGTAGTCTTGATGTCAAGGGCTGTCACTCTCACCTCACCTCTGGAATTCAGCTCTTTCTCCTTGCTTGAACCAAGGCTGTAGTGAGGTCAGGAGCTGAGTAGCCCTGGCAGAAACCAAACTGGGCATCGCTGAGCAGGTCATTGCTGAGCAGGTGCTGTTTGATAGCACTGTTGATGACACCTTCCATCACTTTACTGATGATTGATAATAGACTGCTGGGTTGGTAATTAGACAGGTTGGATTTGTCCTGCTTTTTATGTACAGGACATACTCGCTGATTTTCCACATCGTTCAGTAAAGGCCAGTGTTGTAACTGTACTGAAACAGCTTGGCTAGGGGAGCAGCAAGTTCTGGAGCACAAGTCTTTAGTATTGTTGCCAGAATGTTGCCAGGGC